CCTGTTCATATACGTTCTTGGCAGATGATCCAGAAGTGGTTTGCCATTGCCTTCTTCTGTGTGTGAATGGAGTAATTGTTGGGATGCCACGGAGAAACCGGGGAAGCCTAGACCACGGCCTTGCCCAACACAAGTTATAAATTCGGGCACAACTGGGAATCGAACCCGAGACCCCAGGATTACAAGGCCAGCGTTCTAACCGCTAGACCACCGTGTTCTTCCCTGACCTGTCACTTTCAGAAACATTCATGTTTTTAAAGAGATTTTTAATGATATTTGTTAAATTACGGACCAATATCTTTGTGACTGTTGATACAGTGCTTTTATAGTTCTTACATAATTTTCTCGTATTATCAGAGTGTTAAGAGTTAAATATTTCCTGAATGTTTCTGTTCTCTTGAAAATAAAAGGAAACTGGGAATCCATGAACTGATTGAAAGATAGGACTGGAAAGGATGAACGTCTGTCTCATTTTATACGGACAGATAAAAATGAGAATTGTGACAGCTAATTAACATTTTAAATTGTGCATATCGGTATGTTTCATACTATAAGATTATTCTAAATCCAAACATCAATCCGACTAACTCTTGGTGTTTGTGAAACACTTCTCAAACTGGTTACTAGCATGAACATGATAAATATAAATCTGTACTTAAACCATGAAATAAAATGACTGAATGTCATATGTCCCGTAATCTGTCAACAGCATCCCTGGAGCTTACACATGCACAAATACACGTGCGTATGACTACACATGCTCACTGACATTAATCCCAAAAGGCTGGTTTATGGTGTAGACATTAAGTATTAGAAATGTATTAAATTAACTGTCACATGGGCCATAATTTACCTGCACCTTGTGTATGTAGTTCTTAAAATCTAAGTCTAAACCTTGTAACTTCTCAGACAAACAATAATATATGAATGTTTGACAGATTACACAAATCACGTACCATAATCTGATTACTATCTTCATCACATTCATGCACAAGGTTGTATGTAAACTCGCATAAGTTCCCTATGGATTCTTCTATTAGGTCAATCCTCTGGATTACTTCATCAACTAAAGGAGAACTCTACAAAAAGAGAGAATGGATACAGTAAAATGGAATTTTAACAAAACACTAAAAATATAAATCATTTGGGAAATGTTATCTTTACAGTGTGATGTCCAGTTGTTTGTTTTGGACAATGCCTTAAAAACAAATTGATGAGATCTACATTTTAATAAAGGAACTAAATGCCAGAAGTTATCTGCGTCTTCATTTTCAAAGATTTTATACAAAGACGAAGATAGGAACACAGGTTGGGAAAGACGCCACACAGAGGGGACTAAGAACATGGGAAGCAATTGAGAAGGAGTAAATGCTGTGAAAGACAGAGATGGAGAGGCTTAGTTGTCAGATGACCAACCTAAAGTAAAAAAATCTTTGGCAGAAGGAATTAATATTTTTCTAAATCCACCACATGTATAGAATTTACAGGCTGCATGAAAAAGAATTTTAGTAATTAAAAAATACATTATCACATAAATTAACAAAATTTTGTACAAAAATGACAAATGATTAGGTGAACCACTAAATTTGATGCTCCCAGACAGTCAGATAAGATAAGCACATTTAATTTAATTAAAATTAGTGGAAAAAAATCAGTGCAGTTAAGTCACCCTGTCCATCAGTCTGTAAGTTAATTTGCTAGTACTGTTCATATCTAATGGCATATATACTTAAAATATGTACAATTTATTCCTTTCTACTTATTTACTGATATTTGAACCTTAATGCAGGATATTCTTGTAGCATTTCTTTTACCAACATTACCTTACATGTGACACTAGTAAATAATGAACACTGTAAAACGTGTGAGCAGTACTGCATGTTCTAAACAGTAGTCCTGTATATGATTTATGGTTATTATCATTACCACTATTTATTACTTTCACGGCATGTGTCTATGAGCCACAGCCAGCCTCGCCGCAAAGGCTCATCATCATCAATGTATCATCATTATTGTTGTTTTTTACATTACTCATGAACTTTAAATACAAGGGTTTGGAAACTGCCTGGAAAATGGCACGCAAAGTTGCGTGAGCAAGCGTCAGTGCCAACTGTATGAAATTCTACTTACATTCAATTATCCTACACACACACGTCCAATCAGATGAAGTTGTGAATTTGTGAACTGCTTTATGAAAAGGAAGCAAACTCGAAACTAACGGCTTAAAAATGCAGGAAGGAAAGTTGCACTTAAATACTCTTTTCTCCACTCTGTCCAGGTGTTTGGGTGAAACCTGTGTTTACAGCTCTTCGGACTTCCTGTCACAACTTACTCGGTGGTTTTCTATTGTTTTATCATTAACATGAGCTAACTGACACTTCCCCTACCTCATCATAATCTGATTCTGTGCTGCTTGTCTCACTGTCTGATTCGCCCCTACGCTGGGCTCGTCTTCGACTTCTTGGAAAATGGGGAGGAAGGTTCGCCCTTAAATTCCTTTCCCTTATCGTCTTCAATTTTTTCCTTCGTTGACCAGCCTGTTCATGTGCTTCAGAGACGTGATCCTGAAATTGAGAGAATATGTTTAATTTAATTACACAGCAGTATCTTCAATACAGGCCTAAAGCAATCATTCGTGGCACATTGCAGTTTTTGTAGACTGTGTAAATGTGCTTTTTAAGGATATAATGTTTTGCAAAGCCAGAGTTATAAAAACTTCATATTAATAAGATGTGAAATTCTTTTCAACATTTCCTGATAAACTGTAGCAGGGTGTGCTCTAGACCAGTGGTATTCAACCTGGGGTACGCGAAGACATCTTAGGGGGTACGTGAAATTTAAAAAAAAATATTATTTTATGATAAGCCCTGAATAATCACGGCCAGATTTAATACATTATTTTGGATGTAATTTATTTTAGATGTAGATTATATACTATGTATAACTTGAATTATACACCAACAACTTTGGGGGTACAAATTTGAAGAGAAATTATATCTGGGGGTACGCGAAGACATCTTAGGGGGTACGTGAAATTTAAAAAATATATATTATTTTATGATAATCAATAACGTAATTTATGTTAGATGTAGATTATATACTATGTATAACTTTAATTATACACCAACAACTTTGGGGGTACAAAGTTGAAGAGAAATTATATCTGGGGGTAAGCGAACAAAAAATGTTGAATAGCGCTGGTATACATAGTTTCCAGTGACTTACACCCCAATGTATTGCCAAGGTTAAGAATGAGGAGAGATACCTTCTCTCCCCTAGTACCAACATTAGAAGGCATATCCTGGTCTTATTCCTTTTATCTAAGATGTTCAAGGCTGACTTTATCTTTGTAATGAAAAGCTATAATGTGAGACAGCCTCATAAGTTCTCCTATTTAGAAGACATTCCTCAGTGCAAACAGCTTAATTTTATTTAAAAAATCTTTCAAAAATGTAGATTATTGCCTTCATACATATCATAACATTTTTATTATACTGATACTGTTTAACATATTTTCCTGGATAGAACAGTTGTTGTGGAATAAACTAACATTTTTACCACTGTATGGGAAACATTTTTTCCAACTGGCAGTGTTTGATACTAATCGAGAATGATTATCCATATTCATATTCAATTTTAAGAGTCTATAAAGGAAAGGAATGCCACATATATGAAATATCACATTATAACCAGAAATAAACAAAACTTGTAAACTTTATAATATTTACCGTAAAAGAGATCAAGTCAGATTCAGGAACTTCTAATTGAATCAGATCTAGAGGCATGTGTTCAGAAACAGCATCCAGAACTAACCTCAACATTCTGCTGGTGACCTCTCCATTCTGACAGAAAAATGAGGGTTGTTCAAAATTAGTAACAGTTTATGACATAGTAAAGAGATTTCCTTACCAGTATGAGCTTCACTGGTGAAGAGAGCTTTCTCTCTGAATTTTTCCATAAGAAACTCAAATCTTACCTAATTTGTTTGAACTTTCTAAGAATTTCTAGTGGAATTAGAAAAATAAAGACACACTGATGTACATTATACTGAATGTTTCTACATTTTAATTTTGAACATGTAAACATGAGTCTGAAAAATAGCCATTTGTTTCCACATAGATGATTTATGGAGACTAGAAGTAGAATTTTGGCATGTCTCATAATCATGTGTAAAGATTTTATAAGACTTACAAACTTGAGACTTGAGAAACTTGCTGCCAGTTTATAATGACAAGTACGACACAGTAAAAAGACAACATTACCATGCAGTATGGTATACGGCTTACCTCTGGTGAAAGATCAAACAACTCTGGAAATGATATATCAAAACTAGACTCTCCACTGGTCATCTTTTTCAAATAAATTTCTTGACTGTGTGATATATCTCTGAAAGCAAATCAATGTTTACAATGCAAACAGCATTTAACTTAGAACTTAAAACGCAAAGAGGATGTACAGCCTTTGACACAACTTACTTTGTAAAAGCAGTATCTTTCAGATGCAATTTGTTTTTGAACTAAGATCTTCCTGCTCTTTGCACACTTGTTTATGTCACAAGTTAGCTGTTGCTATGATACAAACCAACAACATATTTAAACAGGTGAAGTACCTCATTGTTACACAAAATAATCTCTTCGTTACCACAGCAACAATGAATCTGAATAATAAATAAATGCATATCAAATTGGCCAGTCCTCACCATAAAAACAAACTGCATTACATGTTAGATCTTTCTAAATTCTGACGAGAACTCTTGTTTGAAGATGAAGACATCTCTGTATTTGGTCTGAGTTTAGCAAGTTTGTATACTGGCATTGGTCACTGCTGTCAAAATTTCTTGTTGCAGTTCTTTGACTGTTTCCAAATTGTTTTGTATAAAGTGTCTTGCACAAAACTGTATAGAATATAATCATATGGGTTATTCGGCTTTTTTATTCAGCCATTCAAGTCAAAGTGGGTTTCATCACTGAACCACATATGCTATACAGTAACTTCATTAATATGTAAAGCAGTCCCACTACATGCCAAGAAGGTTGCTTGGGGGGTGAGCAGTCAACATCATGCCACCCTTTACCCCCTGAAAAAGGCCCCCAGGACCTATTGGATAGGAGGCTCGGTGGGCCCAAGAGCCGGACTGGACGCAGAGGTTGGAAGAAAAATCCTCTGCCCCCGTCGGGGACTGAAACCCAGTCGTTCAGCCCATATCTAGTCACTATACTGACTGAGCTATCCCGCTCATAACACACCCTCATTACATTCCATGGATACAGAAGTTAGATGACAATACGGAATAAATCATAATAATATACATATCGCCAGGACTATTCGTACTATTTCAAGATTTCACATATTATAAGCAAAGGGTTCAAATAAAGCAGTGACGTGTTACACATACTTCCTCACATTGCATACAGTAGTTACAATTATACCGGGTGGTTATAAATTATTGAGCGCATTTCGTAGATGAATAAAATAGAACACAATAACGTAGCGACCTCTGTTTTGTTTCAGATGATAGAGCAGCTGAAAGAGTTTGTTGCTGACCTCGGCCGACCATAGGTGGCGCCGTGGTGGAGTGGTTGGGTACCAAAATGGCTACCGAACAGGAGAACGCGACGTGCGTTCTGTGGTTTCATGAAAACAAATCTGTAATAACTGTTCAAAGACGTTTTCGCTCAGAGTACAACCGTGATCCTCCTAGTAAGGACTCCATAAAACGCTGGTATCAGGAAATGTCGAACATAGGAAAGGTGCTGGCAGGCCACATGTCTCCGAAGACGTTGTTCATCGAGTGAGAGAAGCTTTTACGAGAAGCCCAGCTACATCGACTCGTCGCGCGAGTTTGTTATTGGGAATACCGCGATCGACAGTTATCAAGGTTATGCATAAGCGCTTAAAACTTCATGCATACAAAAATCAGTTGTTGAAAGCACTAAAAGTTGACGATAAACCACGTCGTTATGATTCCGCCGTGCGCATCCTTGATGAAATCGACCAAGACAACTCATTCTTAGAAAAAATAATTTCTGATGAAGCAATCTGCCACGTTTCCGGTTATGTTAACCGTCACAGTTGTCGGATTTGGGGTACAGAAAACCCTCATGAAGTTCCAGAGAAAGAACGATAGAGCCCAAAAGTTAACGTGTGGTGCGCATTGGCTGTAGATGAAGTGATCCGACCAATCGTCTTCATCGAGCCTACAGTGTCTAGCATTACATACCTCGACATGTTAGAGGGTCATGCAATACCACAAATGGAACACTGACAACCGAACGTATACTTCCAGCAAGATGGCGCACCTCCACACTGGGGTTTAATTGTTCGGAACTACCTACAGGGAAAATTTCCTGAACGTTGGATTGGCCGCGGAGGACCGATTCCCTGGCCACCTCGATCCCCCGACATTACACCCCTGGATTTCTTTCTTTGGGGGTTTTGTCAAAGACAGGGTGTACGCAAGGAATGTTCGCGACATTGGTGAACTAAGAAGACGAATCAGTGAAGTCACTGGAGGAATAACTGCTGAAATGCTCCGTAACACATGGCGCGAAATTGAATACCGCCTGGATATTTTACGTGCCACACATGGAGCTCATGTCGAAGTTTATTAAAGTGGTAAAATGTTGTAAATAAAACTATTTGAAATGGCCTATTAAATAAAACAACATACACGTGAGTACTTTACTTTGTTCTTTTCTTATTCATCTCTGAAATGCGCTCAATAATTTATAACCACTCCGTATTAACCATTTATATTATATGAAGACGTATTGGCTTTTGCTCTTGAATAGTCGCAACTTACTTTCTACTAGCACTACCTTACCTTTGAATCAAACTTATAGCTCCTGTTAATGTCAACAGCCTTCAGTCACAGAATCAACAATACCGTCCATTGCAACTGTTTATTGTTTCAGAAACAATGACACTGTCATAGCAACAGTGATTTTGAACTATAACTAAATAAGTAAACAAATAAATGTGTTGCCAAGCAATGTGAAACTGATTATCGACTCTCGTATGCACATCCCTGATGTTACATAACCTCAACATTTCTGTGGTCTGTCTTATTATAATGGTGGTGATATGGATTTGAAGTTCAATTCTTTTCTAACTAACTGGATGGCTTACCAAACCCGAAGGTTCATCACCGAATTAACCAAAGCCCTCCACCAGACCCTGTCCTGGGCCAACAAAATCCAGTCTCCTTCAACTCATATCTCCCATAGATCCCGCCTGACATTATCCTCCCATCTATGTCTAGGTCTCCCCAGCGGTCTCTTCCCCTCAGGCTTCCCAACCAATACCCGGTGCACACCTCTTGTCCCATCCATGCGCGCTACATGCCCCACCCATCTCATTCTTCTCGACTTAATCGCCCTGACAATACTGGGGGAGGAGTACAGATTTTTAAGCTCAACATTATGCAGTTTTCTCCATGCCCCATCTTTTTAAGCAAAAATATAAGCGAACTCTTTACCTAAATAGCAAGACCAGTAATAACCAACTACTGATGCAAAACTATAGAAAATATTGCAAAATTTTCCCCTTGTAAAAATATTAAAAAGTAAAGCTGTCCCACTATACGCCATGTAGGGGCTTGTGGGGAGAGGTGGTATAACTTCTACTCATTCTTGACCTCGGCCCTAGATGGGGGTAAGTGGTCAGCATCACGCCCCAGCCGTGCTTTACCCCCGGGAAAGGACCCCGGTACCCATTGTAGAGGAGGCTGAGTGGGCCCCAGAGCCGGTCTGGACGCAGAGGCTAGAGGAAAAATCTTCTGCACCCGTCGGGGATCGAACCCCGCTCGCCCAGTCCGTAGCAAGTCACTATACCGACTAACGTAATTAAATGAATTGATTGTAATAAATTTTACACTGCTTGGCACAGCTTTTCTTTATTTATTTGTAGTTCAAAATCATTGTTGCTATGATACAATGTCATGGTTTCTGAAACAATTTCTTCTTCGTCGTACTGCTAATAAACAAACTTAAATTGTTGAAGCATATTGTTATTAGGAACCGCTGCAACAGATGGTATTGTTGATTCTGTGACTAAAGATTGCAGAGTAAAACAGGAGTTATAGCTACAAGTTTGATTCAAAGGTAAGATACTAACTACACCTAGAAAAAGTTGTGATCATTGAAAAGGTTAATGTGAACAAACACATATTAATATAGATTCCGTGGATCCAGAAGTTAGTCAGAATGACAATAGGATGTGGTTCAATCGTAAAAATACAAAACAACATAGACAAGTATATGTTCTAAATACGAAGATTTCACCTAAATAATGTTCACTGGTGAAAATATGTCTTCGAATAATGACGCAAAATCTTTTTTCTCATAATTAGGCTTCTACATGAATTTATGGTCTTGGCATCAGCCATAACTCCAACAATTTTTCTTTGTAAAGCAAGTATAATTTTATTGTTGCATGGATTCCCTCTCAAAATTATTGCATATTAATCACGGAGTCGAAATAGGCTAAATAATTTCATTTCCGAGTGTTGTTCCTGATATGAAAGATTGATTCTATAATTTAACAGTCTTTATTAGTATGATTCATCTGAAGTAATTATTTTTTTTGCTTCTGAAGCCAAGACATTCTGGCCTTCACTGTGCTATTCGTTGTAACAAATATTTAAGGCGTTCTTCAGCGAGTGGAGTTTTTGGGAATTTTCTTTTTTGTAATGAGACTTTTGTGATTGTTATCTGAGTGTCATCCAAGTAGAATTTCTTCAAATGAATTTGTATCATTGCCGGAGAAACAATTTTTGATCAGGATGGGCCTTTGCCACACACTGAATGCTGTGTTGGAAATGGTCAATGAGAATTTTGTTCAACAGTGTTGTCTAATCATTTTCCTGAATCGTTTTGATGTGGGTAGTCTGTCATGTTAGTCTTACGATCTCAAACTATGTGATTGTTTCTTATGGGGCTTTCTGCAAGCCAAAATTTACAAAAAACAATTTGCAACAAGAAATTTGCACAGCAGTGACCAATGACAGTAAAGAAACTGCTCTACTCGGATGACCTGGTACATTGATATTGGCATGTTTCAAACAGCAGTTTTCATCAGAATTTAGAAAGAAATAACATGTCTGGCAGTTAAATCAGGATTGATTAGAAATTGTGCGGAGTCAGTGGGCTGGTCACTCACTGTTCATAAATGCACGCTTCAAGACTAAGAAGCGTCTGGCACAGGAGGCGGCGAAAACCCACAACCGGGTTGTAGAGCCAAGAAGCAACAACAACATGTCATGCAGTTTGTTTTTATGGTGAGGACTGGCCAATTTGATATGCATTTATTTATTATTCAGATTCATTGTTGCTGTGGTAAGGAAGAGATTATTTTGTGTAACAATGAGGTACTTCACCTGTTTAAATATGTTGTTGGTTTGGATTGGTTTGCTTTCAGAGATATATCATACAGTCAAGAAATTTATTTGGAAAAGATGACCAGCGGAGAGACTAGTTTTGATATGTCATTTCCAAAGTTGGCTGTTACATCACCAGAGGTAAGCCGTATACCATACTGCGTGGTAATGTTGTCTTTTTACTGTGTCGTACTTGTCATTGTAAACTGGCAGCAAGTTTCTCAAGTCTCAAGTTTGTAAGTCTTATAAAATCTTTACACATGATTATGAGACATGCCAAAATTCTACTTCTAGTCTCCATAAATCATCTATGTGGAAACAAATGGCTGTTTTTCAGACTCATGTTTACATGTTCAAAATTAAAATGTAGAAACATTCAGTACAATGTACATCAGTGTGTCTTTATTTTTCTAATTCCACTAGAAATTCTTAGAAAGTTCAAACAAATTAGGTAAGATTTGAGTTTCTTATGGAAAAATTCAGAGAGAAAGCTCTCTTCACCAGTGAAGCTCATACTGGTAAGGAAATCTGCTATGAAATTGATGGCAGTGAGCGTATCAAAGCTGCTGTCAAGAAGCAATGTCAGTGTTAAAAGAATTCATCTCCATCATACTTGGCTCATTGTGTGATATCAGCACATCTGATCATATCCTGATTTTTTCTGGCACATGACACTTCAGTATAGACAGTGTCTAGGAACTTTGTTTTATTTAGTTTCATTCTTTTGTTTAGCAGTATTTATTTAATTGTCCTTTGCAAATAATACACTGTGCTGTTATTCATTTTAAGTAAATGTCATATTTCTGTGAGGGCCAAGAAGTCGGCAAGAGAATCTTGAGGTTAGTTTTCGATGCTGTTTCTCAACTCATGCCTGTAGATACAATTTTATTAAAAGTATCTGAATCAGACTGGAAGTCTTTTAAGTTAATAATCCTGAAGTTTACCAGTTTTGTTTAAAGTTTCTGTGATATTTCATATATGTGGCATTTCTTTCCTTTCTAGACTCCTAAAATTGAATATGAGAATGGATAATCTTTTGGTATAAATTCATAAACTATATAATATACCCAAATTTATTTTCATGACTCAGTGTAAATTATTATCATTTCATTTCTTGGTTAGTAGCAAAAATTGCCAGTTACAAAAATGGGTACTCGTGGGTTATCGGGACACATAGCTTTAAAAATAGGTTAGGTTAATATGTGTGGATAAATGACATATACTTGAAAGTTATTATATTTTATTTCAATAAATGACACCTAACCTAACCTATTTTTAAAGCGATGTGTCCCGATAACCCACAAGTACCCAAAAATGTTTCCGATTCATTGGTACAAATGTTAGTTTATTCCACAGCAACTGTTCTATCCAGGTAATATGTTAAACGGTATCAGTACAATAAAAATATGTTGACATGTTTGAAAGGACACATGTACATTTTTGAAAGATTTTAAAATAAAATTAAGCTATTTAATTTGTACTGAAGATATTTTGAATATCAGAACTTACATGGCTTCACCACATCATAGGTCTTCATTAGCAAAATAAAGTCAGTCAGGGAGGTCTCATATAAAAGAGATAAGACCAGGATTTGTTAAAAACAATTTCATTTCCTGTTGAGATTAAGTTTTTCACAATTTTTGCTTTTCTACGCAGGATGCTGATAAAAAAACACATTTACACAGTCTACAAAAACTGCAATGTGCCACGAATGATTGCTTTAGGCCTGTATTGAAGATACTGCTGTGTAATTAAATTAAACATATTCTTTCAATTTCAGGGCGAGGTCTTAGATGCATATCGCCAGGTTGGTCAACAAAGGAAAAAATTGAAGACGATAAGGGAAAGGAATTTAAGGGCAAACCTTCCTCCCCGCCTTTCAAAACGTCAAAAACAATTACAGCGTTTGATGGAAGCAGAATATGATACAAGCAGCTCAGGATCAGATTATGATGAGGTAGGGGAAGTGTCAGTTAGCTCATGTTAATGATAAAACAATAGAAAACCACCGAGTAAGTTGTGACAGGAAGTCCGAAGAGCTGTAAACACAGGTTTCACCCAAACACCTGGACAGAGTGGAGAAAAGAGTATTTAAGTGCAACTTTCCTTCCTGCATTTTTAAGCCGTTAGTTTCGAGTTTGCTTCCTTTTCATAAAGCAGTTCACAAATTCACAACTTCATCTGATTGGACGTGTGTGTGTAGGATAATTGAATGTAAGTAGAATTTCATACAGTTGGCACTGACGCTTGCTCACGCAACTTTGCGTGCCATTTTCCAGGCAGTTTCCAAACCCTTGTATTTAAAGTTCATGAGTAATGTAAAAAACAACAATAATGATGATACATTGATGATGATGAGCCTTTGCGGCGAGGCTGGCTGTGGCTCATAGACACATGCTGTGAAAGTAATAAATAGTGGTAATGATAATAACCATAAATCATATGCAGGACTACTGTTTAGAACATGCAGTACTGCTCACACGTTTTACAGTGTTCATTATTTACTAGTGTCACATGTAAGGTAATGTTGGTAAAAGAAATGCTACAAGAATATCCTGCATTAAGGTTCAAATATCAGTAAATAAGTAGAAAGGAATAAATTGTACATATTTTAAGTATATATGCCATTAGATATGAACAGTACTAGCAAATTAACTTAAAGACTGGTGGACAGGGTGACTTAACTGCTCTGATTTTCTTCCACTAATTTTAATTAAATTAAATGTGCTTATCTTATCTGACTGTCTGGGAGCATCAAATTTAGTGGTTCACCTAATCATTTGTCATTTTTGTACAAAATTTTGTTAATTTATGTGATAATGTATTTTTTAATTACTAAAATTCTTTTTCATGCAGCCTGTAAATTCTATACATGTGGTGGATTTAGAAAAATATTAATTCCTTCTGCCAAAGATTTTTTTACTTTAGGTTGGTCATCTGACAACTAAGCCTCTCCATCTCTGTCTTTCACAGCATTTACTCCTTCTCAATTGCTTCCCATGTTCTTAGTCCCCTCTGTGTGGCGTCTTTCCCAACCTGTGTTCCTATCTTCGTCTTTGTATAAAATCTTTGAAAATGAAGACGCAGATAACTTCTGGCATTTAGTTCCTTTATTAAAATGTAGATCTCATCAATTTGTTTTTAAGGCATTGTCCAAAACAAACAACTGGACATCACACTGTAAAGATATAAGTGGGGTTATGTGATAATGTATTGTTTAATTACTAAAATTCTTTTTATTGCAGCCTGTAAATTCCATTTGACTCTATCCAATTTCTCTTTTTTTCAGAGATTTGCTGTCGTGGGTGAACTACTCCATAAACTTGATATGGTAGAAGAGAGCATAGACAAATTATACATGATTTTATACAAGGTTACGACTGGCCGTGCAAAAGAGTATCAAGTTATAAATGTATGTTATTTGTGTCGTATATTATTGTTTGTCTGAGAAGTTACAAGGTTTAGACTTAGATTTTAAGAACTACATACACAAGGTGCAGGTAAATTATGGCCCATGTGACAGTTAATTTAATACATTTCTAATACTTAATGTCTACACCATAAACCAGCCTTTTGGGATTAATGTCAGTGAGCATGTGTAGTCATACGCACGTGTATTTGTGCATGTGTAAGCTCCAGGGATGCTGTTGACAGATTACGGGACATATGACATTCAGTCATTTTATTTCATGGTTTAAGTACAGATTTATATTTATCATGTTCATGCTAGTAACCAGTTTGAGAAGTGTTTCACAAACACCAAGAGTTAGTCGGATTGATGTTTGGATTTAGAATAATCTTATAGTATGAAACATACCGATATGCACAATTTAAAATGTTAATTAGCTGTCACAATTCTCATTTTTATCTGTCCGTATAAAATGAGACAGACGTTCATCCTTTCCAGTCCTATCTTTCAATCAGTTCATGGATTCCCAGTTTCCTTTTATTTTCAAGAGAACAGAAACATTCAGGAAATATTTAACTCTTAACACTCTGATAATACGAGAAAATTATGTAAGAACTATAAAAGCACTGTATCAACAGTCACAAAGATATTGGTCCGTAATTTAACAAATATCATTAAAAATCTCTTTAAAAACATGAATGTTTCTGAAAGTGACAGGTCAGGGAAGAACACGGTGGTCTAGCGGTTAGAACGCTGGCCTTGTAATCCTGGGGTCTCGGGTTCGATTCCCAGTTGTGCCCGAATTTATAACTTGTGTTGGGCAAGGCCGTGGTCTAGGCTTCCCCGGTTTCTCCGTGGCATCCCAACAATTACTCCATTCACACACAGAAGAAGGCAATGGCAAACCACTTCTGGATCATCTGCCAAGAACGTATATGAACAGGTCCCAGTCTGAGAAAAGGATGGAAGGATCCTGTTCATATGGACCTGTCGTCAGACAGAACACTAAAAAAA